GGAATATATACTTCCATATCTATAGAAACACCCACAGACATTCTTTCAGAGAACCACAATAGTCAGTATGTGAGATCTCACTGCTCTAGAGGCCTTCTGCTCCAGTGGTGGATGAATCAGACTCCGTGTACCATGGACAATGAGGATCCAGTGCCTCACTTTCATATGCATGCCTCATTTCAGAATGTAAAGGTCACCTAATCCACGTTAAGTGAACTGTACAATGGAGGAAACACTCCAAGGCCACCAAGACTAAAGGCAACAAAAGGAGGGAACAGAAGGTCAACCTCAGAGGATGTTCCTGTGGCACAAAGAAACTGGATGAAGTTCCTCATTGACAGCAAACAGCCAGTGATAACCAGCTAACATCTGACACTTGCCAACAGAGGATTTCAATAGAGACAGAGAAGGAAACAACACAGAAAAAAGGGCAGTAGCTTGCCCAGAGTCAGATGTGGAATGTGGGGTGTCTGAGTTGTTATCTATTTTGCCATGTTCTTCTCTAACCTGCCACCTCTTCTTTCCATCAACGTGACTGAAAACTCCTGGGCTGTTGCACTAGTGACCGAGACAGCCCAAGCAGCAAATTCACCCAGTTACATGGGACCACGAGCACATCATGCAACCCCTCCCTGTGTTCTGACATTCAGGAGTTCTTTACACTCTTAAAGTCCTTAAAGTGAAGTCAGGCAAGGCTTAGCCCACGAGGTGGAGGGAGATAGAACCTCTCAGCGCTGCAGCCTCGCGTGCCGAGTCTCCCATGGCACTGCAGCTCCAAGCATGGAGCAATTAACAGCTGAGGTCAGACAGAAGTGGAGCCTGGGTGAAAAGAAGAGCAGCATGAAAGCCTAGTGCAGCAGAGCAAGTAGTGAACAAAGGGAGCAACACACAACTCAGTCCTTCTGAGGATGCTGTGGGAGGCAGAAGAGACATGGGAAGGGGTTATGGGTGTAGCAGGGAATGAATACACTCTGCCAAAGGAAAAAGGTGAGTTTCCAAGTCTGGTTTTAACTGCATTAGCCAGCTGATAAAAAATTCTCAGAGAAGCTCACATGGGCACTAAACAATAATTAAGGCACTCCATTCCCTGAGTCCTCTTTTGTTTTATGCTATGGGTAATCCTGGAGCCAAGGGGACAAGGGAATGCAGCACAGTGAGCTCCATGGCTGATAGACTGTGTAAATGTAATGGTTGGAGAGGAGCTCTCATTTCAGGCCTCTGAAGTGGTAAATTATCAAGTGAAAAACTACAGCAAGTTCCACCAAAATTGCAGCCATCCATACTGCACCTTGTTTTTAGCAAACAAGAGGTGACAGAATAAAGGATGGGGGTGAGAGATGTCTGCACTGTACGCCAAGGTTTTTCTAATTATACTTTACACCTGCCATTTGTTCTGCACACTGATCATAGTTTGTCTGTGAGGTAGAGAGCTCACAGTGCCAAAGGGAATGTGGTTTACATTCCTGAGTCTTAATGCTTTTTACCTCCTGTAAGGCAAAACTCCTTACTACTGTCACTAAAATAAAGGCAAGAGGACAAAAGTCACACAGGCAGTGCCACGGTAACAGTTTAACAGTTCCTCTCACTGATCTTTGGAAACAGTCCCTTCA